ACGGGTGTTGCTTTATCGTCGTTTTCTTTTCGTCGGGCTGACACACCGTGTGTTTCTCCTTATCGAGAACCTGTGCCAACACACGTAAATCAGAAGAGGCGCGACCTTGCGTGAAAACAATTCGCGAATTGCTAGCCTCGCGGCCGTAAATTTTCCCAGCAGTTAAAGTTGTTTAAGTGCGGCATTACAGAGTTCCGGACAAATTCGTCGTTAGATTGATAAAAGCGCGAGCATGGTAAGAGTAAACGACATGCGGCAGGGAATCTCGAAAGTAGTTTTCAACCTATCTTTATATTGTAAGAAATTATTGTATAAACATATTTCGCGCGTACTTAATTTTGTTATGAAATACATAAAAATATCGATGAAAACGTTATATTCGCTGAGGTATTGAGAGATCATTAGCCTCGTCGTCTGAGTACAGGAAATTATATTCGTCAAAACCGCGGAAGAATGAAATTAAATAATATACGAGACCGCAAAATCCCATGTACACAGCGGCGTACGAAAACAATGAGAATCCTATCGTCGCGGAAATAATGGAATCGTAACACCATAATTACAACTAGGAATAAATCCGGCACGATAGCATCTATCAATTGAGTGTAATTACGAACGTAATGCTCCAACGTCTGTTCCTTCTGCGCGGAGAGCTCGAGCTGACTGATTTACAGGAGAGTCGCATTGAACGAAGCCTTGATGTCGCGCGACGTGAAAAGTTTAAACGCATATTTCAACGCATGTGTCCATAAAAACAATTAATTAAACAAAAATCGGCCAAGTGCGAGGACAGGAAGCAGGACCTGTGCATACACCTACAGACAAAATTTCCAGATCCAATGCTATTACACTTGAATGTATCATAAAATAAGATCCGTATAGCGCCACTCATATTCATCAAAGAGAAAGGAATATTTTAATCTTAAATGAAAATTTCTAAAATCTAGAATAAAGGGATAGTATGTGTCGTCTTTTGTCGAATATCGTGGCGCCAACTTCGTGCGTTGTAAGAGGGAGGGAAAATTTATTCTAAACGCAAGAATGTATAAACTTACATTTATATAAGTTACTCTTGTCTCTATATATTATAGCAAGTCAATCTTTTTTAATACGATAGAAAAGAATAAGAATTATTGATTGTATTTTGATATTGTCTCATTTTTATATAATACTAAATGAGCGTGTGAGAAAAATTAATGCGTCAAGAATATTTTTGTCTCGGTTACAGAAATCCTCTCTGAGGGTATTGAGTGGGGCGTTTCTTTTCCCCCACTGAACGTCTTCGATCGTCGTCAACATTAGCGATACCTCTATTGATTTCTATTGATTTCTTGGCGACGGCAGATCGACTGCGTTAATTGCGAACGGGGTAATTAGTATGCATCGGAGCGTTGTGCGCACCTGACCGAGGTATGTATTTTCCGAGACTTTGTAACGTTAAGTTGCAATCTAATCTTCGGCCCGATAATAATTTGGCGGGCAACGTATCATTAAGAGTTGCCTACATCCGGACGGACATGCGTCCTTGAGCATCTCCTCGCGACAGGACGAGAGAACGATTCCACCGGTGACAGAAACGAAGCGACGATTCCGTGAATAATATCGTGATACATCCGGCATATTATTCAGCATCGTGCAATATATTTTTAAGTAGTCTCGGTGTTTACGCAAGTGTTCGGCCCAAATTCGAACTGTAAGCGCGACTGTCGCGTCGACGCGTTATTTCGTCATTGCCATATCATTAAATTAGTGTCTTTTTACTTTTTTTTCAAATTATTGCCATCCAACCATTGCGCAATTGTAGACTTATATATTTCCTGTAATTAATTACAAATACAATAATTATTTCGTCAGCTCGCCGAAAGAGAATCGTCACGTCCTCCATGTCCATGAGGCGCACCTTTCGTTCAATGCTGACTATGATATTTCTCTTTCGCTATCGTCCGTGATAAATCTCTAGAATTCTAACATCAAGGTTGACATTCGCAATCAGTAGCGGTCGATTTATCAACTTTTTATGCCGACCGACGCCCCTGGATATTTTTTTGCCATGGCTCCGATAAGCGAGAAGCCATGCACGTTGGATTGCAAGTCGCGAGTTAATTATCTCTCGGTAATCGATGTAAAGAAAAAAATACAAAGATTTTTTTTCAGCATACACCAGTCGCGCTGCTTTACGCGCATGCTGAAGGATAGCGTTGACGCAACGCGAGCCTCCAGAAACTTACCGACTTTTAATAAGTACGGTTCACGCTACGTGTACAGCGTTATGCAACCACCGGCGCATCCTGTCGGATGTACGCCATTTCGCAATCATAAGCAGAGCAATGGTTACAGCTATCCCCCCTCGAAACGGAGGGAGTAGGGGAGAGGAAATTCGGGCTGATGTTTCGCGGATCACGTCTATCAAGCTGCGTTTCGTAATAGCGCAAAAGCTCAACTGTCCTCCGCTTCTCAATTTTCGCGTACGCTCCATTGACGAGTCGTCGACGATATAGTCGTAAATCGCTCACGACGCACCGTGAAAACAGCTACGGCTTAATTTGCTCGTCGTCTTTGAAAAAAAAAATGATAGGAGAGAAGCGGCCGCTCGAAACAATTTTTAGATTTTCCAAACGATCTGATAACCCGTGTAACGTTGGTAACATGGTAATCGCGATGAGTGTAACTATAATTGAGCTGGTTGTTGCGGAAAGAGAGAGGGGGAGAGGAAGAACGTGAGTCAACTTCTTCACTAACACGAATCTGATGAATTAATTTCCTGGGAAACTATATATATCGCGTGGCAAATTTACAAAGATGCAGATGCACTGAAAGATCGAGGTGATTTCTGAGTAAACGGCGTCTGTTAAATAAGAGTGCCATTCGATTTCAATTATGTGGCTAATTTCTGTGGCGAAGCGAGTGCGTGTTTCGCTTTCTCGGCCGCGGACGGTCAATGACACCACACGAAAACAACGCCCCGTTCTCACCAAATTGGGAGGAAAGAGTCTTTTTACAGTCGTACGGCTCGTTTACGCTTGGAACGACAAAAATACATACAACGCGATCGCGTGACGTCGCCATATATCCGCGAAACGACCGTACGGTGACAGTTTGAGCTACGTAATTCGGTGCAAAATCTCGAATAAAATATATCATTGTCAGCGATCGTGCGCACCGATAAGACAGACCAGCACGAATGGCAGAGGCAGCTTCCTTTGTTACATCCCGTGCATGTCACCTTTCATACGGCGCATAATTACGGCCCGCTCTACCTCTGCAAGTAAACTTGATTGTTGACTCAACGCGTAATTATAAACCTCTTTGTGGCGGGCGGATTTCGCATCCCACTCACATAGATCAATATCGGAGTAGACAGACGGAACAAGGTATTTGTTCCGTCTATATGAGAGTATCGGTGAGACATTCGTTAATCCGCTAACCGCTTTGCAAGCTGAAAGCGAGTCGACATTTTGCAATTGCGTTACTTAGCATCTAATACCTTGCAGACTAGTTCTGTTTGAAGGAGCGATACATGTTATAGAAAAAATTAAAGAGTGCTCAACATTTAATTCGTTTTGTGTTAACAAAAGTTTGAATGAAGATTATGATTTCTCAGATATTTTAACAGCTCATCTTAAGTCTCAGATTGTAATGAAATATACAGGGTGTTATGTAATACTCGTATCAACGCTTATTGTGGGATAGAGTGGACTAGACTAAGTCGAAAAGTCCTCTACCATTTTGCAATTTTCGCAAAAGTCAGCGAGTTATTAATTATTAAAAATCGCTGTCTTAGGCCGGCCCACTGCCCAATTGAAACGTGTGGCGAGATCGATCGATCGTTACTAGGCGCGCAGAGAGTTGTAACGATCGATCGATCTCGCCGCACGTTTCAATTGGGCAGTGGGCCG